CCCAGTTCAAGAGAGACAGGGAACTGCTGGAGAGAGTCCAGGGGAGGGCAACAGAGATGGCTGGGGGGTTGGAGCATCTCCCTGAGGAGGAAAGGCTGGGAGAGCTGGGACTGTTCAGCCTGGAGAAGAGAAGGCTGAGGGGAGACCTTCTTAATGCCTGGCAGTATCTCAGGGGGGTGCAGGGAGGATGGAGCCAGACTCTGCTCAGCAGTGCCCAGGGACAGGACGGGGGGCAACGGGCACAAGCTGGAACATGGGAAGTGCCACTGAAAGAGGAGGGAAAACTTCTTGCCTGGGAGGGTGACAGAGCCCTGGGACAGGCTGCCCAGGGAGGGTGTGGAGTCCCCTTCTCTGCAGATATTCCAGCCCCTGGATGCAGCCCTGGGGGATGTGCTCTGGGTGATCCTGCTTTAGCAGGGGAGTGGGACTGGATGGTCTCCAGAGGTCCCTTCCCACTCTGACAATTCCATGATCTCTGTCCCATTATATAAAAAATGGGGAGGGCTGATGTTGGCCATGATTTGATAAAACAGCTGAATAATCCACCAGGGTTTTTATTTCATTGACTTCAATCCTGTTACCCGTCACCTCTCAAGCCTGTTGCTGTTACTGGACAGCAAAGATGATAAAACAGACTGGAGGGGCCCTTGTGAGGGCAGCTGATCCATCTCCCAGCATCTGCTGTGGAGAGAAGTGCTTGTAGAGAGCTTGAAATTCAGTTACAATGGAATAATAATAATAAATAAACAGTTGTTAAATAAGGCAACTTTTTAATCCTGCTCTACAAGAGGAACAGAAATGTATTACAGGATTTTGTATTTAAAACACTTTGACTTATTATGCAAATAAATCACTGCTTAATGTGTTTTTCTTCTCGTTGCTGCTGGTCAGATTTTCAAGAATGTCAGTTAAAATTTCAGACAGGCTCCCCAGGGGATTTTCTGAAAGAAAATGAGCAAACTGAGCTCCTGTTCCCTTCTGCCCTCAGAAGAACTCAATGGCCAAACACAAAATGCCTTTGACATCCCACTACATGTCTACTCGTGTCTTTAGATACCCAGATATCTCTTAAAATAGACTCCACAATTGATGCAGAATTAGTGCATCTCAGGGGCTCCTGGCTTTTATTTATAATTTGGGAAAAAAACAAAACCAACCCAGCAAATATTTGGCTTGTTTGTTTCCCTGAATAAAGTAGTGGTTCACATGCAGAGAATATTTTCTTTACATCTCCAAATTTGCCTGAATTTGAAGGTAATTATTTATTGCATTAGTTCTGTATAATGGAATCTATATTTATCTGAAGGTGTACAGATAGTGTCACATTTATAGCCAGAATTAAACAGGTTTTCCCCCCAGTTTCTTTTGGAAATCAAAAGGTAGCACCTCGTGCCTCACTGGAATTAGGGAGAGACTTATCAACTTATTATAAGATATTAAAATTTGTCATCATGTATTTAAAACAAACAAGTGAATTCTCACATAGGAGATAGAGATTTGTTTTTAAAACTCTGTCTTAGCAGTTTATATCTTTGGAAAACAAGGAAGATTTACTGAGGTAAACATACAAAGGGCAATTTGTTTGTTTTTAAACATCTTTTTGAATTCTGCAGTCCTGGGAAATGTGAGCTGCAGGTGCAGAAGGTTGGTAGGGGCAGAGATAAAGCAGTGCCAGGGTTAGGAATGTCACACAGGAGGAGTTTAAAGCTCCCCAGAATGTCTGAGGGGCTGGAGTGGATGGGAGAAGGGCTCAGGATCTGGAAGATATTTCCAGAAGATGTGCAGGAGCTGGTGGGTAATACCTGGCAGAAGTCAGTTGGGGTAGGAAGGGGATGTTTGAGGTGTGCCCTGCAGTGCTGCCTGCTGGCAGTAGGTGTAGCCACAAGGCTGTGGATCCAGCTCCAAGCCTCCTCTGAAAGGAGATGTGGATAGAAATCACTCACCAATAGTTCTCATCATGTCTTAAGCATTATCTGGTCTTTTCTTGCTGCTTTTTATCTGGCTCAGTGAGGGACTGAGACTCTCAGTGTGTTCAGCCTGAAATGGTAAAGATTTTCTTGTCTCTTCCCCTTTTGCTGCTTAGTCTCTGATAATCAGTTAAAGACAAAATTAATGGTTGGATTTTGTTCAGTTCATGCCCGTGGCTGCTCTGCTTTCACCACAGCCTGTTAAATGTCACAGGGCAGATCCAGCCCTTCAAGCCTTGCTGTGGAGAATGTTTCCAGAAACATTTGTTTCTGGCTTTTAAATTAATCCTTCATTTCTCATGGTGTTTTGCTTCTCTGGTGCCATGTCTGTGCTTTGGGTGCTACGTCAGAGTTTACTGGCAACCTAAACATAGCTGGGTGATGTGGGCTGGGGCAGCAGATTTCTAGCAGTTGGGTCATCAGCTGCATTAGTTTGCTTTTCTTCACTCTGCTGCACAGTTGTTTAGTTCTTGTTTCATCTGTGTCTTGTCTCCCAGTGTCAGGAAAAAAGGAGCAGAGCATTTAGAGCTGTAGTGATCTGTGAAACAGTGTTAGAAAAGTAGGGACACACACATTTAAAAACTAGTGACTGATGAGTGTTCAAATCATAGAATGGTTTGGGCTGGAAGGGACCTTAAAGATCATCTAGTTCCAACCCCCCTGCATGGGCAGGGACACCTCCCAGCAGCCCAGGCTGCTCCAAGCCCCATCCAACCTGCCCTTCAACACTGCCAGGGATGGGGCAGCCACAGCTTCTCTGGGCAACCTGGGCCAGGCTCTCCCCACCCTCACAGCCCAGAATTTCTTCCTCACGTCCAACCTAAATCTCCCTGCTTCCAGTTTAAATCCATTCCCCCTTGTCCTCTCACTACAAGTCCTTGTCCAAAGTCAGAGGCAGTGCCAGAGTTCTTTGCAGCTATGAAGGTGCAGTTATAATCTGTAGACTTACCCAACAGATAACTGAAAATACTGGTTTTATGCACAGCACATCTTTTCTAATGCTAAGATTGCCATTTATTTATATTTTGCAGTGCCACAAGGTTGCAGTAGTGAGAGAGGATAAACTTGAAGGTAAGCAGATTGTGAAAATCCTGTGGTTTCAGCTTCTTTCTTTGAAAGAACAGCAAAGTGAGCAAAGCTCAGAACTTGCCACCTGCACGTAAATGCCCAGGCAGGTGGTTAGGTTCATGTGTGACATTTTTGTACTAACTTTTTCTCAGAACTTGGTATATCTGAGCCAGCAGCTCTGGAACTTCAGACTTGTCATTTGGGCCTGATTTTTTTGGTATTTATTAAACCTTTTGGTCAGTGATTGTTTTCCACCCCCCTGCCACTGACAGGTGGCTCCTCCCTAAAGGCAACAATATCCCAGTAGTGTACAGCAGTTTCTCAGTGTCTTAGAACAATTCTTAGCCTTCAGGCTCCCAAGGATGCTGAAGGAGGTAACTGTGGTTATTGGTTGAAGGCAATTGCAGCCTTTGTGATCTAACTTTGCTTAGAAGTCTTGAGTTATTTTCCTTTTTGTTATCTGGTGTGGGTCTCTGCCTTAAGTTGTCTTTCTCAGGGTAGTAGATTGTCAAGGAGCACAACTACTGTCTGATACATTAGCTGCCTAATGTTCTGTTTTCCTGTGGAGGGGAAGGGCTGTTCCTGTTCTTTGTATTAGAAGACAGGCCAGAGGTATGACTGAAATTTGGAAGAGGCTGAGATGTGTGATGGGAGCAGGGCTGTGGTGTCTAGGACTGGCCCCAAGAACTCATCACTGTGTGTATTTTTACAGTGCCTAGAAGCTCTGTCTCAGCCCAGGACTGTGTGGAAAGAACCAGTATAAGCAGTGACCAAAGAATTCCTAAAAACCAGCCCTTGTCTCAAGGGGGTAACAATCCTAAATAGCTTAGAAGAGACAAACCACTGATCCCAGGAGACAACTAGAGCAGATGCTGTGGCACGTGCTGAAATGTGGACACGACCTCAGTGGCAGAGAGCAGATCCAGCAAGGCAGAGTTAGGCCCATCTATTTCCTCCCTTTGCTTTAGGTAGTCGTATGATATTCTAGATCCTCAACATCAGATATTTTGAGGCCAATCAGAGAGATTGCTCTTAGTTCAGTTATGTAAGAACCAGGTGTGTACAATGGAAACGTGTTTGACAGGTTCATGGAGTCTTACCTTGAGTTCTCAGTGAGCACTGGAGGAAAGTACCATTATACATTTATATTTTCAGGTCCTTGCTGTCAAGTGCTTTGGCAGTCCTTCTCCATCCTTGGTAGAGCTTCATACTTAAAATTGCCACCTGATAAAGTTACCAGCTGGGAGAGTTGGGGGGTGTTCAGCCTGGAGAAGAGAAGGCTCCAAGGAGACCTTAGAGCACCTTCCAGTGCCTGAAGGGGCTCCAGGAAAGTTGGGGAGGGCCCTGGGGACAAGAGCAGGGAGAGAGAGGACAAGGGGGAATGACTTTAAACTGGAAGAGGGGAGATTTAGGTTGGACATGAGGAAGAAATTCTGTGGTGTGAGGGTGGTGAGACCCTGGCTCAGGTTGCCCAGGGAAGCTGTGGCTGCCCCTTCCCCGGCAGTGTTGAAGGGCAGGTTGGATGGGGCTTGGAGCAGCCTGGGCTGCTGGGAGGGGTCCCTGCCCATGCAGGGATGACCTTTAAGGTCCCTTCCAGCACAAGCCATTCTATGTTGATTCTGGAAGGCTGTGCTAACAGGACTTTCTTTTCCTTTCCCCCCAGCAATGAAGTCCAAACTAGCCAAGATTGCCAGCGTGCATGTGTACAGCATTCAGAAGGCCTTGCTGAAGGACAGTGGGCCTCTCTACAACACAGACTATGATATTGTCAAAACAAACCTGCACAACTGCACCAAGTGAGTTGCCTCCTGGTTTTTTCTTCTTACGCCATGTGATGTGAGTCTGGGGTGGTGTTGCTACACAGAGCACTTCAGCAGAAGCCACTCCTTATCAGATAGGCCTGGATTTTTAGAAAGCTAGAAAAAGAGGTCTCAGTCATGCCAAACCAGTCCCCAGACAGCACGTTGTGTGATTGTTTTGTAAACCAAGGTAATTCCAGTTTATAACTGGTTCACTTGCTCTGTTAATCCAGCAGGCAGAACATTTCAGTACCTTTCTTTGATGGCTAGAAACCTTTCTCATTTCCAAGCAACACTTCACTGTGACTGTTTGTATCCAGTTCTTAGTCACACAGGAAGAGTAAATTGCAGCTGACTTTCAAAAACACAGAATCACAGAATGGTTTGGATTGGAAGGAACTTTCAAGATCATCTACGTCCAACCCCCCTGCAAGGGCAGGGACACCTCCCAGCAGCCCAGGCTGCTCCAAGCCCCATCCAACCTGCCCTTCAACACTGCCAGGGATGGGGCAGCCACAGCTTCTCTGGGCAACCTGGGCCAGGCTCTCCCCACCCTCACAGCACAGAATTTCTTCCTCATGTCCAACCTAAATCTCCCCTCCTCCAGTTTAAAACCATTCCCCCTTGTTCTATTGCTCCCTGCCCTTGTGAAAAGCCCCTCCCCAACTTTCCTGTCGTCCCCCCTCAGGTACTTCAGGTCCTTCATGATTGAACTAGAGGAAGGTTATCCTAGAATTCAGAGGGACTTCAGTCTCCAGGGGTCATTATCTCTCCTCCTGAGCACTGCCTGGCAGCTGTGGCCTTTCATTGATCTGCTGTTCCCTCCACAACAGCTCCAGCTTGATGTGGTCAGTAGGTGCAGTGCCAGGACCAGTCTGGTTTGGAAGGGGATACTTGAATGTTGTGTCATAGAAAGAGTCTAGAATTTGAAAGGAGAAATGTAACTGTCTTCAGAATGTTGACAAGAAAGTGGCTGAGAAAATAATGTCCTAGAAGGTGCATGTTCCAAGTGTTGAGTGTCAAGGCCCTGGTAAGTGTTGGAAAACCCTGCTTCAAGGGAGCCACGTGCTGGAGGTTTGGCTGTGGTTGCCTGTTCCAGGCTGTTTACTCTCAGGCACCCCTGCAAGGCCATGCTGGTGTCTTAGAGGAGGCTGCCTGTTGGATTTGGGCACCCAGAAGTTTTAAAAGAACTCAGATTCTGGAGTTGCTTTTGATGTGCAAATCCCTGCCTGGCTTGGAAGCAGAATTTCCCAACCAAACTAAGAAAAAATTCAGCTTTCTCATTCGTGACCTGGCTGAGGGAAATTCATCCTCCCTGTGTTCCCTCTCCTTTGTCAGCTACATGGATTGTTTTTAAATTTGAGACAATATTCCTGCAGTACCTGCAAGAGACAGAAGGTTTAACTGTGTGTCTGTTTATAGCAAACAGAACCTCCTGGCTTCTTATACTTCCTTCTCAGTCCATACATCTCCATAAGCTCTGGGAAAGGATCTTTCTTCTGTGTTTTTGTGGGACCTGTTATGCTGTGAAGACAGTGGAGGTAGCTAGATGTATTTATAGAAATAACTGGATTTAATGCACGTTGCTCATGTCAGCTTTCCAAGTAGAAGCAGCTCCTTGCTTGCAGAACATAGTCCAAGCCCTGCTTGGTGGTTTTTTTCAGTGATTATGTAGTGAATTTTGGAGCAAGCCCATAAGCTACAGTCACACAGCAGCATTTAAGGCCAACTGACATGGATTGTGGAAGGTTTAGATGTCACAGTCAACATAACCCTGATGATAAAACATGGCTTCTCATCCAGAGGGTCAGTGCTGTTGCTTATGGGTGTGTTTGGAGGAGGAGGGAAAGCTGAACAGAGAGTGGAGTTGACCATGTTGAAAACAGTTTGTAAGTAGAAAAGAAAGCAGGAATATTTTTCTTCAGGGCCTTCTTTCCTTCCTTGAACGGTTTGAGTGTCAAGAAATGCTGTAGAGGAGGTGGTGGTTGGTTGGTTTAATACATTTAAGTTCCTGGTCTGGGTAGCTGTGCACTGTGCATGGGAGCTGCTGGTGCTGAGGGACAGGAATGAATTGGCAGAAAAGTGGTTTATTTCTTGGGCAAATGAAAAGATGCAGCGTAATTCCATGGATTGCAGGGCGTGAGTCTGTGCTCTTTTGTGGCATTTCTGTAGGAAATCTGGAAAGCCTCTCCTGTGATTTGCACAGTGGGGAGCAGAGTGGAGTTATTCTTGGGTCCTGCTATTCCTGGCTGTCAAGGGAATGGGATTGTAGCTGTGAGCACATAATTTAGTTCTTCTATCTCTGTTTCCCCAGACAATCACGTTTCAGGCTGTTACAAGCTGAGATGTGTCTCTGTCTACCCATGATTGCATGGAAATGACTTTATATAGTGAAGTCTGAATGTCATGGGTATCATCTGAGCCCTTGAAGTGGTTGAGTTTGATTTACTTACCTGGCCAGGGGTGATTGTGGCTGCTTGTTGCAGCAGTAGTGGGCTCTGTCAAAGCCTCTGAAAGCTGTAAATGTTTTAGATCGTCAGGCAGCCCTACAATTTATGCTGCAAACTTGAGAGAGTGTAACTTGATTCAGAATGAAATGCAGTTCACTCCATCTCCACACAGGGTGAGCAGATGGGCTTTTTCCCCCCATTTAGGAGGGCCATGAGGGTGGCTAGAGAGCTGGAGCAGGTCTCCTAGAAAACAGGCTGGGAGAGTTGGGGTGTTCAGCCTGGAGAAGAGAAGGCTCCAGGGAGACCTTAGAGCACCTTCCAGTGCCTGAAGGGGCTCCAGGAAAGCTGGGGAGGGGCTTGGGACAGGGGCTTCTAGGAGAGTACAAGGGGGAATGGATTAGAACTGCAAGAGGGGAGATGTAGTTTAGACATGAGGAGGAAATTCTGTGCTGTGAGGGTGGGGAGAGCGTGGCCCAGGTTGCCCAGAGAAGCTGTGGCTGCCCCATCCCTGGCAGTGTTGAAGGGCAGGTTGGATGAGGCTTGGAGCAGCCTGGGCTGCTGGGAGGTGTCCCTGCCCATGCAGGGGGTTGGATCTAGATGATCTTGAAGGCCCCTTCCAACCCAAACCATTCCATGGTTCTATGAAATCCAAACAGCTTGTTTAGCTGCCCTGGCTCTGCCTGGCAGGTTCAGCTGCTCTCACTGGAGGTCTCCACCACTGTGGTTCTGTGCTAGCTTTTCTTTCTTGCCCCATGCACAAATTCAACTGCTCTTTTTTTTTTATTATTATTCCTTCCCTTTCCCCTCCCCACGGCACCAGGACCCAGGGCCAGGAGAGCTCAGCACGACCAGGGCAGGGAGGAAACCAAGGTGAAAAACTCAGCTGTCAAAAGGCTAATTGAATTTCTCGCTCCGTCACGCAGGTTCAGCGCCATCCGTTGTGCTGCTGCTGTCCCCAGGGCCTCAGCTGAAGGTTCTCAGGCACAGACGTCTGCACAGGCTGGTCCCCTGCCACCCAGTGACACCAGTGCTGGCACCAGTGCTGGCACCAGTGCTGGCAGTGTCCCCGTGGCCAACGGCCACGCTCCAGCCACCACCAAACAGACCTCGCAGCAGCCCAAGGGGATCATGGGAATGTTTGCAGCAAAAGCAGCTTCCAAACCCCAGGACACAAATAAAGAAACTAAAGCAGAGGCTAAAGAGGCCCCAGGTGTAAGTTACCTCAGACCCTTTGGCAGCCCTCTGGGTTAATAGCTTTAATGAACCACTCTTGTAGCTCAGCTCTTACTTGACCTGACTGACCTTCACCACCGTAATGCAGCCTCCTCTGCTGCTTCCAGTGCTCAACTTGCTGGCAACTGGGATTGCTCACTCACTGTTTTGTAAGTATTTGGGTGCATTAAGAAGTGTGTGTCCAGCAGGTCCAGGGAGGTTCTCCTCCCCCTCTATTCTGCCCTTGTGAGGCCACATCTGGAGTATTATGTGCAGTTCTGGGCTCCCCAGTTCAGGAGGGACAGGGAAAAACTAGAGAGTCCAAGGGAGGCTACAAGGATGATGAAGGGACTGGAACATCTGTCTGATGAGGAAAGGCTGAGAGACCTGGGGCTGGTTAGTCTGGAGAGGAGAAGACTAGAGGGGACCTGATTAATGTCTATAAATACCTGCAGGGTGGGTGTCAAGAAGGGGTCAGTCTCTGATCAGTGGTGCCTGTGACAGGATGAGGGGAAACTGCACCAAGTGACAACCCAGGAAGTTCCACCTCAACATGAGGAGAAACTTCTTTGCTGTGAGGGTGACAGAGCCCTGGGACAGGCTGCCCAGAGAGGTGGTGGAGTCTCCTTCTCTGGAGACTTTCAAGACCCACTTGGACGTGTTCCTGTGGGATCTACTTTAGGTGACCCTGCTCTGACAGCGGGTTGGACTAGATGATCTCCCCAGGTCCCTTCCAATCCCCACCACTCTGACTCTGATTCAACAGTCAGGTACAGCTGTGCCTTCTGCCAGTCATCTTGGGCAAATACCTCTTGTGCCACACTCTGGATCAAGCCACAAAAATACATTTACTGTAATTTGGATGCTTTGAAATTCCTCCTTGAGCTGGATTTCCAGCAAATATAAACCAGCATAGCTGCATTATTGAGACACTTGTTCCCTTGTCTCCAGTCATGCCAACATCCACACCAGTTGAGGATCTTGCTCTCTCCATTGTGCTTAAAAGGATTTGTTTTGAGCAATAAGTGAAATGTGAGAAGTCCAGGTCTTAAACAATTTAGTCTTGCACTGCTCAAGCTCTGAAACTTTCCTCACAAACCAAGTTTAAGCACCTTGGTCCTTTTATCCTCAACTGTTTTTTTTCCAGGATAGGATTACATTTTAATTTTAATTAGTGCAATTGGTTTTTAAGCAATAGTAAATGTGTATTGAAATAGCAGCAATCCCTGCTTATAGTTTGGCTTTTTTATAACAATTGGGTACTTTTATGATTCAGTTTTTTGATTTTTATAGTGAATTTAGAACTGAAGAAATGGGTTTGTGGGGGTATTTTGGGAGTGCCTTTTTTGCATGATAATAAATGAGATTAGGAGGCTGAGCTTCCTCAGGTGGGTGGTTTTTTGGGAGAGGGGTGTCTGGTTTTTCATGGTGGTGGTGGCTGTCCTGATGGCCTAGAGCAGTGAGATTTTTTTTCAGACAGCTCAGCAGAGCAGCCTACGTGCCAGAGGAGCTGGAGAAAGTCCTCATGGTTTGGCCAATCTCTGTTCTTTCCTCTGTTGGTGACTGTGAATTGAGGCACTGAGAGTTTGCAAAAAAGAACAGTTCTTGACTGGGAACTGACCCAAGTCCCAGCCACGTATTTCAGTAACACTGTCAGCCATCAGATGGGAATGTGACCCAAGTGAGATTTGAAGGCCTTGCTGAGCAGTCCTGACTGACTGACTCTCAACCCCTGGATGTATGTAGGGCTGGGGATCTTCAGATTCTCCTAAACAGATGCTGAAATCAAAGACACTGACCAAGCAACAAATGACACATCTTTGTTTTCCTTGCCCAAAAATGATACTTTGCATTTTGAGAGCTGTTCATAGAATCAGAGAATGGTTTGGGCTGGAGGGACTTTTAAGACCATCTAGTTCCAACTCCCCTGCATGGGCAGGGACACCTCCCAGCAGCCCAGGCTGCTCCAAACCCCATCCAACCTGCCCTTCAACACTGCCAGGGATGGGGCAGCCACAGCTTCTCTGGGCAACCTGGGCCAGGCTCTCCCCACCCTCACAGCACAGAATTTCCTCCTCATGTCCAGCCTAAATCTCCCCCATTCCAGTTCTGATCCATTCCCCCTTGCCCTCTCCTACAAGACCTTGTCCCAAGCCCCTCCCCAGCTTTCCTGGAGCCCCTTCAGGGACTGGAAGGCCAGTGTGAGGTCTCCCTGGAGCCTTCTAATTCCTGTGGTTACTCCTCTGTTTGCTTCCAGGTGTCTGCAGCAAGCACCAAACCACCAGCAAAGGGCAACATCATGAACAACTTCTTTGGAAAAGCTGCCATGAGTAAGTGCTTTATTACATGCATCTGTTTTCAGAAACCATCCCTTCCAGGGACCAGCCTGCTGGAGTTAAAAAAAAAAATAATTAGTGAGAAATATTGGAAATCTCTTCTTTATTTTCTTTCTTAACTAAGTAGTAACTAAAAAAACAGTCAGTGATATTGGGAGTCTTGTTTTTCAGCTGTGATGGGAGGCATGAAACAGAAAGGAGCACCCTCACCCTGCCAAACTTGTTGGATTTTCTTTATATCCCCTCTTTTCTTGCAGTTTTCCACACTTTTCTTCTGCTCCTTTGGGCTCAGAGGGGTTAAAGTTTTTTATTTTTTGAATGCAGCTCTTAAGGCAAAAATGAAAAGTTGTAAGTGGAATTTTTTCAGACAAAAAAACCCCACAACAAACCCCAAAACAACACGAAACTTGCTGGATGGAGATCAATTGAAATGACATATTTGTGCAGACTAACCCAGGAAGGATTTTTAGTGCAGAAGAAATCTGATTTAAAGTGAGTAGTTCTGGCTGGAGGATTTGCTCTTGGGGAAGTGTTTGCCAGAGCCTGTTACGCAGGGCGTGTTAATGATGCTTGGTTTTCATCACAAATCACTGAGGAGTCTATAGTTAGATTTAATTTCTTGACTGAGAACTGAAGAGCTAATAATTGGAGGATAAAAATGAGGGGTGGCCTCTCCCTTTGAGCAGGGCTTTGGTGGCTTCTGGAGGCTCCTCAGTGATCCAGAAAAGAAAGGATTTTGAAGCTTTTAAAGGTGGGAAAGGACTGTGGGACTTCTGCAAAGATGGATTTTTAATAATGAAGACAAGAGGCTTCAGAGAGTTACTGGGAGAGAGTAAACAGCAACGTTGACTTTCTGACAGCCTATCTGGCAGTTTGCAGGGTGCAGCTCCAGCACCCAACACACCAGGCACAGTCCTGTTGGGTGACTTTGAGTTCTTGTTTTTGTGAAGCTGAGGGAGCCTGGGTTGGATAGTAGGAAAAATGTCTTTACTGAAGGAGTGGTCAAGCACTGGTCCAGGCTGCCCAGGGCAGTGGTGGAGTCACCATCCCTGAAGATGCTCAATAAACATGTAGAGGTGGCACTTGGGGACATGGTTTAGTGGGATTTGGGGGCTTGGGTTGGTGGTTGGACTTCATGGTCTTGAAGGTCATTTCCAACCTTAATGATTCATAGAATCACAGAATGGTTTGGGTTGGAAGGGACCTTCAAGATCACCCAGTCCCACCCCTGCATGGGCAGGGACACCTTCCAGCAGCCCAGGCTGCTCCAAGCCCCATCCAACCTGCCCTTCAACACTGCCAGGGATGGGGCAGCCACAGCTTCCCTGGGCAACCTGGGCCAGGCTCTCCCCACCCTCATAGTGAATTTCCTTGTAATACCTAATATCACTCTCCTCTCTTTCAGCCTAAAACCATTACCTCTTGATCTATCACTACCCACCCTGTTAGAAAGTCCCTCTCTGGCTTTCCTGGAGCCCCTTCAGGCTGGAATACTGGAATCTCTGATTGTGTTCCAAGACACTTTCAGCTGAGGCCTCACAAGCCTTAGCACAGTTACTGCAGTTAACTCAATTGAATTCTTAAGAGCTGAGAAGAGCCCTAGACCAAACTTCAGGTGCTGGAAACCCAAAAAATTAAAATTCTGTGGTAAAAATAATCCAGTGGTGATGGAGGAAGCTGGAGGAGGCATTTCCATGACATCCAGTGGGTTTCATTTCTCTGCTGAGTCCTGTCAGGGAGCTCATCAAGGAAACTTCTGAGGTGGCTGCAGGGAAGGAACAAACAGAGCAGAACTGGAAATGATTATGTGTATAGAAGAGAGAAGAGGGAAGATTTATCCCCTACATGTTGTACATCTCTCCTGGCTTCACAGGCTTCACCATTGCCAGAAAGTCCTGAGTTAATAGGTCCTTCAGCTCTGCTGGTGATCGTAAATAAGAGCTGTCATTCAAGTTCTGCTGTAGGAGATACTTTCCCTTGCCCAGTGAAGCAGCCAGCCTGGCTTCCAGGCAGTGTCAGAGAAGCTGTGGCATGAAGTCTTAGCCCTCTCAGCAGCCTCTGTCCCTGTTGAGAATGTAGCTGATCTCATCGTTGAATACTTGTTCTTCACTTGGGCATCCTGGGCTTGGGATGGTTGGTACAGGTTTCTAACTGGTCTGTTCCTCTCTTCTGGTGGGGTGTGTGTATGGAGTTGGGTGCTAGTTTGCTAAATGGAGTTGGGTGCTAGTTTGCTAACAGACACACCTTTCAGCTGGAGTAATATGTCATTTTGCTGTCCCCTCCCACCTGCTATCTCTCCTCTGGTATTTCCTGGCCTTAAAGTAGAGCAGGGGAGATTCAGGTTGGGTGTCAGGAAGAAGTTCTTTACACTGAGGGTGGTGAAGCTCTGGAACAGGCTGCCCAGAGAGGTGGTGGAGGCCCCATCCCTGGAGACATTCAAGGTCAGGCTTGATGGGCCCCTGAGCAACCTGATCTAGTCATAAAGGTCCCTGTGCACTGCAAGGGGGCTGGGCTAGATGAGCTTTAAAGGTCCCTTCTAGCCCCACACATTCTATGACTATGATTAGATAGAGCCTTTTGAAGCAGAATTGTCCTTTTATGTGGTGCTGTGTAGGCAGAAGAGGCTGGTTCTGGATCACGTTGACGTTGAGGTGGGATGAGAAGCCACGACAATAACTACAAATAGTCATCATGGGCTCTAATGTTGTGCAGGATGGAGATTTCACACCTCTCCTTGCTCTTCATCAGTCCCAATTCTGCTGTTTCTGGGCACTTTGGTGCTTGACTAAAACTTTTAGTTTAGAAGGGATCAACTGCCTGTAGAGGTGGAGCTGGTGTTTTGCCAAAGGGCCTGTCTAGAAGAAGGGTTCCCAACCCCCTGCAGTGCCTGAGGTCCTGCTGACTCCCAGGGCTCTGCCACTGCCCCCCAGTTTGCAGTGTGCTTGGGCTGTGCCAGCAGGAGCAGCAGAACCCAACTGGTAAATCAGCTGGAAATGGAAGCATGTCCTTTTTCATGGACAGCACAGTTTGGTCAATGTAGGTCTCTAATGCTTTTATACATTATTTCTAAGTGTTTTCTGTATTCTTGGTGCACACCTGTTTTTGTTTAGCCAACTCCTTTGTACCTTGTCATTCATACTGAATGCCCAGTGTTGTGTTTGTTGTTTTTTTTAATGGTTTATTCCCAGATAAACTCAAAGTCAGCTCTGTGCCTCAGCAGCCAAAGGAGGAGAAAGAAGTAGTCAAGCCTTCAGTTCCTGGAGCAGAACCAGAGTCATCCCCTAATGCTGTAGTGGAGAAAGCTGGGAAGAAAGCAGAGTCTGCTAGAAGTCAACAGAAGGACAAAAAAAGGTGGGCCACACCAACCAGGGTCCCTGCAATTTGTCAACCTGCTTGTTGATGTCCTGCATGGACCTGGCTGGCCACACAGTGCTGCTTATCCCCTTTCCAGCTACTAAACTGCATTAGACCTGGCTAAAATGATCTCTCTTTGAATTCATTCCTAATATTTCTTTTCCATGTAGCCCTGTAGGTGCCTCAGGGCCATTTGTGCCATTGCAAATGGGGAGGGACAGGGTCCAGTGGGAGGGGGTGGCTTTCCATGAGACAACCTCATGCTGGGAGCAGACTTAGACCCTGCAGGCAAACTGGAGGGGCTGGCAGGAGCACCTGCCCTACAGGGAAGGTTGTATATTCCCAAGCTTGGATGTACACAACTTCCAGCACACAAAGTTCTGCTTGTTGATTCCCATAGCTCACGTAGTGCTGCTTTCAATGCCACTGGTTTACTTTGGGCTGAGGCTCCAAGTAAATTTGAAGTTCAGCCCTTTGTGTTTAATCCAACCCAAACTGACAGAGACACACACAAAAAAATCATTACAGCCTGCTGATGGCTCTCTGGTGGCCTGTGAGTAATTAATTGGTGGTCTCAATCTGTTTCTAACCCAATGGGTAAGCAAACCACTCAGCCCACCATCACAGTGCAAACTGGTTGTCTTTATTGGATGGTCTTGTTCAAAAAGCCAAGGGCCTGGAAAAGTGCATGTTGGCAGCCTGGTGTTGGGAAGGCCACTTGGGCTGTACCAGCTCTAGGAGGATACGTGGGCCTTTAGCCTCCAGGCTTGTTAGTCTGACAAGTCTGGCCAACCTGAAAAAGAAAGAAGCTCTTTTATTTTTCCAGTAGTCTTTAAAAATGGCTCCAGGATTCTGAGACACTACCTCATAGTCAGTCAGTGGCAAGCAGTCTGTCAAAGGAGCTTCTGAGCCCTGCTGGTGGGGACATGAGTGTCTGGGAGCCTGAGCTCCACAGAGACAAGATCAGAAATGCACTCTTGCCAGGTTGTCGTGGCCAAGCTAGGTGAGGTGCAAAACGTGGAGCTGCAGAGGGGCTAAAGGAATCCTTGTTTTGGAGAACTCCAGGTGGGTAAGGATGAGAGGACTGAAAGTCCTTGTGCAGCTATTCCTGATGATACAGGTGAGTCCTCCAGTGCACATGGTGTTTTTAAGAGGGTATGGAGGCATTTCACTTCCTTCTAGTAGCACTTCTGTCAGGAACATGCCTGAAGGAACATGCCTAAAGGAGCCTGGTGTTTTCATTCACACACAAGGGATAACACATGTTCATTCCTTCTCCTTTCTTCTCCTTTTGTGGCAGTAAAACCAAGAGGCTGGACAAGTCAGATAACGAGGAGGAACAAGAGGCCGCCGAGAATGTAAAGAAAAAGAGGAAGAGAATTAAACAACTTGAATCTGACAGCAGCGATGAGGAAGGTAAACAAAAATGTGTCAACAACCAGGCATGTAGGTCAGGGGCCTGATTTCAACAATGTCACCATCCAAGGCTGTTGGTCAAGGATTGAGGGGATAGTTGAGAGGACTAAAGACCGTGCAAATGGCTCTAGTTGGAGCTTTCCTGCTTATCTTGTGCTGCAAGCACTTGAGTCTACAGTTGAGATGCCTCAGTCATTCAGTCTTTGTTTCAGTTGAGCTCAGATCTGGCTCTTTCCTCACCAAGTGTCACACAGCCAGTCCCACTGACCTGTGGGGAGGAGGTTCTCAAACCTCTTGTGAAAGATACTGCGCCTTCCAGAATCGTGGGACTGGTCATAACCAGTTTATTTGGTGAGTAAACACTTGCAAAGTGACCTCCCCGAAGTTCCCAGGGTCATTTTTAGTATCTTGATTCTGGCTGTTTACAGAAATGGTTTGGAAGGCTGCGTTGGGAAGCAAGACTTCCAAAAGAAACAAGATAATAGGGAAACTGGAGGCAAAACAGTTGAGCCACATCCGATGCGACTCCGCGTCTCCCCGGTGGCTCTTGGCTTTGAAGGGAGGGGGGTGCCCAGAAAGTTGCAAGATTTGGGTTTATAATGAAGAACAGCAGGGCCAGATTCCAAAGAATGTGGATAATTGAGGTGACAAATGCCGTTCAACGTAGATAACTGGAAAATAAGTTGGGCTGGAGCGAGGGAGCGTGTGCTAAATGGAGCAGTCATCCAACAGGCTGATCAGGAAAAGAATTTGGGGATCATTAGGGACAAATAATTGAAACCACCAGTTTGGTGTTCAGCTCCAGTAAAAGATGGTGAAACAGCTAATAGGTCGTATTAGCAAGGAAGGAGATTCCAGCAGGAGAACTGAAGCTGTTTGCTTATTTAGTGTGGCTGGCACATGAGAAACAGCCATGAAATGAAGAGAAGCTGCCATACAAGTTGGAGAGGTGAGTGCTGGTGGATATCTTGGCAGCTTCCATGCCACCTTAGGCTTATTTTCATGATTTCTCTTTAGCCCAGTGTCATTTCAAGTGATCTCTGTCATCAGGCATCCATCACTTCTACCCAGACTATGCCACAGGGTGGTAAATGTCTCAGGAAGCTGTTCTTCATGATCAGCCTTAATTTCTGTGTGCAGCTCCCTGTTTGGCCATTAAAAAAAACCCACATATATATGCCCACACTCTTTGGTATTTATTTCTTTAAATGTTTGTTAGCTATTATCTGGTCTTTCCACTTGCTCATCACTCAGTCTACTGACAAGCTGTGTTGTTTAGCTCTGGAGAGGGAAGACTGGAATCAGCCCAGTTAGCCACTTGAAAGTACCATTCCTTGCTGGGCTGGAATCTTTGGGCTTGTCCCTTCTCTGCTGAAGGGAGCAGGCAGAGAGGAGCCCTGTGTTTCAGGCCTGTGGGAGGATGGTGTGGAGAGGCTGGTTTTTGAAGCATGATGGCCTTTTGGTTTAATCTTCCTGGTGCTGCCATAAATCACAGAATGTTGGAGGTGGGAGAGGGTCTCTGGAGATCATCTAGTCTAGAGCAGGGTCACCTAGAGCAGGTGATGGCATCCAGGCAGGTGTTGAATGTATCCAGGGATGAAGATTCCACAACCTCCCTTTGCAGCCTGTCCTAGTGCTCTGCCACCTTCAAATCAGAGAATCATGGAATGGTTTGGGTTGGAAGGAACCTTAAAGATCCTCTAGTTCCAACCTCCTTCATGGGCAGGGGCACCTCCCACTAGATCAGGTTCCTCAAGGCCCCCAAAGTAAAGAAGTTCCTCCTCATGTTTAGATGGAACTTCCCATGTTGTTACCTCTTGTCCTGTCACTGGGCACTGACACCAGACAGATCCCATCCTCCTGGCACCCACCCTTAAAGTATTTATAAGCATTGATAAGATCCCCCCTCAATCTTCTCTCCTTGGGACCCCTTGGCAGTGTCAGGACACTGCTCTGAGAACACAGCAATCAGGGAGGTGACAGCACAGGCTGCTTTCCTTATCCATTTCTGTCACAGCTCTTTTCATGTCCAGACTAAGAGAAGTGCCAAAAGACTTGTCATAAATTGAGGAGCTCTTTCTACAGAGAACACTGCAAAGTCCTGCTTGTTGCCTACCCACTTTTGGTTTGGAATGTTGGAGCTCTCTGGTCCTCTGACAAATGCCTGCCTGACGTGGCATTTGTGGAGCAGTTCATGCCTTTGAATGTGGTCTCTTGTGGTTTTGTTTTCTCCAAGGTGAGGTGCTCCTACCTCAGTGCACACAGGAGGCCTGTTTAGTTGTTCTCCCTCCTTTTGTTTGTGCACTTAGGTGTGAGTTACCTGGATTTGCAATTAGAAGCCACGGGTCTGGTCCTCTGGTCAGGTCAAGGGCTCATTTGTGTTATTAACCTCAGTAGCTTTAGACATGAAAACAATACCAGTAAGGGCACCTCCCCACGTGCAGTGGGGAGGGTTGGGTTTTTGTTTACTGCTATTTAACCTACTGGAGACTGTAGAATCATGGAATGGTTTGGATTGGAAGGGACCTTCAAAGCTCATCCAGTCCACCCTCCCTGCCATGGGCAGGGACATCTTCAACTAGATCAGGTTGCGCAGAGCCCTGACCAACCTGACCTGGAATGTGTCCAGGGATGGGGCATCTCCCACCTCTCTGGGCAACCTGGGCTAGTGTCTCACCACCCTCATCCTAAAAAATTTTCTTCCTGATATCTCATCTGAATCTCCTCTCTCTTAGCTGGAAACCATTATCCCTTGTCCTGTCACAACAGACCCTGATAACAAGTTTGTCCCCAGAGATGAAAGCAGAAAGTTTTGACTTTGGCCAATTTTCCTGTGGCTGCTGTTGCTCCTGCTGCATCATAGTCCTCTTTGTTCTTTCCATCATGTGGAGCATTGGCTTTGTGTTGTGTATTAGAATTGTAAATTTATGTAAATTACAGCTTGTGGGTACAAATGTGGAGATTGCTCAGATTAGTTTAGTGCTGTTCCCTCTCTCAAAAGGGAAGGATTAGAATCAGGAGTGCTTCTGCCTCCTTCATTTTTAAGCTAATGGGAATCTAAACCACCCTGGTCTGAGTTCAGCTGTTTGGTTCCACTCCTTGCCCTTCTAAATCCAACAGGATGGAAGAAGATAGATTGGAGTTCTTGGAAAGATTCCTACTGAATCCAAACTGGCAATGAAGGTGATGATCCAGTATTGTCAGCCGGATCAAGCAAATAATGGAAAAGAAATGTACAGCAGCTGAACTTGGAGAGATTTACTCTTGGAAAGGTTGGAAAGGGGTTTCTCCAGAGAGCAGGGACAGTTTGAATCAGCAGCATCCGTGAGGAAAATGGGGCCTGGAGTGACATTGTTCCATGCTCATCCCTGTGGGAGCAGGGGGGAAGGTGCCAGATGCTGCCCAGCATTTGGAAGTCGCTGCCAGAAAGGGGACGGTTCATCTGCCACCTGTGTGACCCCCCCCTGTGCAGGGTGGAGGGGTGAGGTTTCAATATGCAAAGTGCAATATGGGGAGCTGCACCACCAGGGCAGACATGGAAGGCTGACAGTCCAGCTGCTGCTCCTGCTAACCTGGGTGGTGACCTCTGCCTGGAGCAAAGCAGGAGGTGCTTCCACAGGCTGCTCGGAGCAGCTCGAGGAGGTTTGGCTTCAGGCAGGGGTCAAGAAGGTCTCCTGGGGGGCATCAAGGAGAGCATGGCCAGCAGGATGAAGGAGGTTCTCCTCCCCCTCTGTCCTGGTGAGGCCATGTCTGGAATATTGTGTCCAGTTCTGGACTCCCCAGTTCATGGAGGATAAGGGAAGAATCCAGAACAGGCCACAAAGGTGCTGAGGGGACTGGAGCATCTGTGAGGAAAGGCTGGGATAGCTGGGGCTGCTCAGCTGGAGAGGAGGAGACTGAGGTGGGTTCTCCTCAAGGCTGATCAGTATCTCCAGGGGGTGTCAGGAGGGGGGGACCAGACTCTGCTCAGTGATGCCCAGTGACAGGACAAGGGGCAATGGGCACACACTGGAGCACAGGAGGGTCAAGCTGAACATGAGGAAAAGTTTCTTGACTCTGAGGGTGACAGAGCCTTGGGACAGGCTGCCCAGGGAGGGTGTTGAGTCTCCTCTGGAGACATCCCAAACCCATCTGGAGGTGTTCCTGTGGGATCTGCTGGAGGTGACCCTGCTCTGGCAGGGGGGTTGGACTGGATGATCTCCAGAGGTCCCTTCCAACCCTGACCCCTCTGTGACTGGGTACTAACCTTTCCTGCGGGTGCAGCTGCAGATACAAGGGGCTGCTTGTCCTCAGCCATTGCAGGGACTGAAGGGCCTTCAGACAGAGCTCCACCTGTGGGACTGCTAATAAAACCATGGCCCTTTTTTCAGGCAGACTCGGGGACATTTTGTGGGTGTGAAACCAGGTCCCTAGGACGGATGCAAAGCGCTGTCTGGGCGCTCTGATGTCAGGGCAAGACTTCTGCCTTGTTTTATATTAGTCTGCTCTTAATGTACTGAAAGTAGCCCAAAATAAGCTCCTCTTACATGAGTGTCAGCACATTGTGCCTAGTTGAAAAATACAGAGGAGGCATAAGGCACAATCCTCTCCATTTAAATGATTTTTCATTAAAAAGTTATATTGGTACGAGGCTGCCTTAGTCATTGCAGGTTGTTTTGCTTCCAGTGCCAGAATAAACTACACAAGTGTGTCCACAGAGGACAGGAGGTTTTGGCAGCTTCAGCTATACCAACACAGGCAGCTTTTCGCAGTGTTGACAAGTGTTTTACAGCCACTTTGGAGGGTGATTTCAGTGGCACTGTAACCTACAAACTCCCTGGGCTTGGGAGAGCCACAGCAGGAGCACTAAAAGCTTCTCACAGTTTTTCCAGGCAGGGTCAGAGCAAACTGAACAAAGCCAGGATTTTACATCTTTGGTACATCCAATTGCCCAACTTGTATCCATTTCATGCAGCTGTTGCTGTTGAGTAAACTGTGGGCAGCAGCTAGAGGTTGACTCAGGAGTTATCACATGTCACAGGGCTGTGTTGGCTACAAGAGGATAATAAAGTAATAGACACGCAGCTTAATGTTAGTCTGAAAAGCTCTGACGTGGGGAGAAAGGTCCTTCTGCCTGCCAGAAGCTGGGGAAATTTACATGGAGGAGGCTGAAGAGCAGCCCAGATCTCCCCCAGGCAAGCCTGGTGGGGTTGACACACTGACACCACCTTCAGCAGTTTCTCCTTCAACATGGCAGAGGTGGAATTTGTTTTGTTACCAGGCTGTTTTCAGCCCCTTTCTTCAAAACCTTTTCAAATGGCTGTGTCTGGCCTGGGCAGGGTTTGTGCTGTGCAGGGTACAGGCACTTCAGCCTGGGAGTTGCTGTGAGACTGGAGTAAATACTGAGAATGTTGAGTTCCCTGCAGCTCCTCAGCCACAGTCCCGGCTGCCCCAGCAAATTAGCACCTCCCAGCAGATCTGTTGTTTGGTTTTATCTTTGCTCAGCTGCCAGAGCCAGCTCTTTGGAGCAAGGTGAAATACCAAGTCATGTTATCCCACTCTGTTTGCATTTCTGGGCCTCACTTACTGAAGTAGTTAGGAGGCTGAGTCCCTGTTTGAAGAATGTAATTTATTATTCAGCCTTGGCAGCCAACCACTGTTTCACTTGAGCCCTTCTTAACCTATGAAGGTCACTTGGCCTTGTGCCTGGCACAGTCATAACTCTTAACACTGACCTAATGGGTTGGGACAGCTACAGATCCAGAATTCGTGTTACCACGGCAGGGTGAGTGCAGGGCTGCAGCCAGCAGGGCTGGGAGGAGCAGCCAAGCAGGCACCCTGGCCTCCTGTCCAGCAGCAGCCTTGTTATTCTGAAGCAATAGGTCAGATGAGGAGTTTCTTCCCCCACATTCCTAGCTCTCCCCCACATCCCAGGGCTCACACGACAGCCTTGCTCATTGGAGAGGATCCCTTAGAGCCCTTTCCATGAGGCAGTGCCTGCTGCAAGGTGCTGCTCCCATCCCATTTTCTTTGCTGTTGGGGCTCTGACCCCCTGCCAGCCACACAGAAGAGTGACCCTGCCTTTCCCTCCTGTCTGTCAGCCCTGCTGGTCTCACCAAGGCCCTGTCTGACATTGCTGGAAGGAACTCCAGAGCAGCTTTTGCTCTCCTTGGAGGTGGCCCTGACCATTTCAGGCAGTTTTGGCATTGAAAGGATTCCACTTTCTCTGTCCTTGCACCTGGAGGAGAGCACAGATGAGAGCATGGGCTTCATTTCTTGGGGTGTTTTCATTTCTTGTTTGTTTCCTTTTCAAATGAAAGGTTGGAGTGTCCCTTAACTATCTTTCAGGGTGGGTAATAGTATATTGCCCTTCATTCTTGGATTAAGGTGGTTCCAAGCTAGTAGTGTTGATTGTTTGGGATGTGCATCACCACCTGTGAAAAAATGACTGTTTTAAACATGGGGGAGAGGCAGAGAAACTAAGATCATCCAGTGATTTGGGAACATGTAGTCTTAAACCTTGACTTTTTCAATTTCTTAACAAATTACAGTCTCTTGAATGAGCGAGTGAAATAGATGGCTGAAACCTGCCAGTTTCTGAGCCCATTTTTAAAGCTTCATTTGGTGGAACTGGTTTTGGCTTCTCAAAACTCCAAAATGCACTTTTCCCAGCCTCTCCCCCCACCTTCCATCCTCCTTCCTTTGGGAGCAGCACCTCAGCACAGGGTGGGCAGGCTGGCTGGAGACCCAAGCTGCAAACAGTTTGTCCTGACTTGAGTTAAACAAGTCTGAGTGAGAACTCATAAACCTTGACCAAACTCTTGGTCCCAGGCAATTGTTCAGAGTTAAATGCAATTATCTGAGACAGAAAAGTAGCTGCAAGAGGGCATTAGACCCACATACTATTGAGATTTTCATCTTCTCAGCAGGTGTCGTGCCATCTCCCACACCTGAGGAAGAGAAATGTCCATCTCCACCTCCTGCACCTGCTCTGAAAACTGAACTGGGGCCTTCATCTATAGAGGTAAGAGCACATGAAGGTGATTAACTTCTGTTCTTATCCACCTTGGTGGGGGTTGCCCAACCAGCCACTTTTCAGATGCTACAGGAGAGGTCCTGTTTGCTTGTCAAGTCCATCATGTCATCCCACATGGAAGGATCCACCACGTTCATTAGTTCATTGTCTAGAGTTACTGAAACTCTAGATTTTATGCTGACACAGCAGCTTTCTCTTTTCTTCCCTTTCCCTCCTGATGAATCTAGGAATTGGTGCTTATATTTGAACACTTTTCCCTCTATATTTTGGCCTCGGGAGTCGGGGAAGGGCCAGAAATGAAACCAGAGATGCTTGATATCATGGGGAAACTGCTGCCTGAGGGAGGTGGGCTGAGATTGAACTTAACCCCTGAGCTGAGAAAATACATCTAGTTCTACTACAAGTGCAGCTGTTTGTCACAGCAGGAGTCCTGGTGTCTTGCACACCTGGGCATTTCCTCATTCTTTGAGGGGATGATGGGACAACCTTGACACCACCTCCTCACACAACTAAACTCATTTCAAAGGGCTGCATCCCCCAGGAGAGGAAGGTGCCCCCTGTGTTGGCAGACAGGAAAGCTGCTGTCTCACTCAATTTGTGGTTTATCTCTCTGAGATTTGTCCCAGTAGGATGGGGAGAATTGTGGCAGTAGCAACAATGAGACCAGGATATCCTGGGAAGGGGCAGGTTCGGTTATCAAATCATGCTCAGCCTCATTAGAGAGATTAGATTTCCCTCCTGGAGCTGATGGTTGGATGACCTGTGTCTGTGCATGGGGCCTTAACTCTTGATTTCTCACAAGACTCCAATGTCCTTCAGGCTTCAGCTGGAGGGAGGAGAAGGAAACGGAAGCGTGTCCTGAAATCCAAGATGTTCATTGATGAGGAGGAAGGCTGCATGGGTAAGACTGCCTGGCTCCTACCCCTCTGGGGAGCTAACTTTGTAGAAGTTGTGTTGAAGATTTTTACCTCTCCCAGGTTCAGAGAGAGGTTCACAAGATCACTTGTTTCACTTCAGCCTCAAAACCTTCCCTTCAGCCCTTTGGTGAAGGCCTGGGTGGGGAGTCCTGGGCCTGGAGCTGAAGCCTTTTTTTCATTATTCACAGATTTTTCTTTCAGTTCTTCTCCCTTCTCTCCTTGCCAGCATGAGCACCTCCTTCATTTGATGTCCTCTCCAAAGCTACAAGCTTTTAAAGATGCTGCAGAGAGAGGTCTAAATTCTGGGGGTCTAAATTCTGGCTGGGATAAGTTTGGTTGTTTAATTTTTTTTTTTCTCTGGAGGATAAATCCAGAGCTGTGCAGCAGAGCTTGGTTATATGTTAATATAAACTTCAGGTATCCCAAATAAACAAGGAATCCATTTGGACTTAAAAAAGGAGGGTTTCTGATAAGGATGACTCTGCTTTCAGGAGGGAAAAGAGTCTGTACTGAAAGTACCAAGAGCCAGAGGCTTTGAATTCCAGCCTGACTGGATGCTGCTTCCTCCTGTGACCTGGAGAAAGCTGCATAATGCCACTTGTTTCCTCCTCTGCATCCTGACCTTGAAGTAGAGCTAATGGAGTTTGGATTCTCTCCCTTTTTCTTTTTCTTAAGGGCTTTTAAAAGTTTTAAGAGAGTGGAATGTGTGGTTTTCAGCTCAGCTGCAGGGGATGCTTAAGGTTCCCCAGCCTTGCTGATCTGAGTAGGTGTAAAGGGAGCTCAGCCACTCCTAGGAGAAGATCTGTTGCCATTTTGCAGGTTGTGCATCAGCACAGACAGATCCAGGCTTCCTTGGCCCAGATGTGGAGCTGCCTGGACATGAATCAGCTCGTGTCTGTTTGCACCTGTCTGTCCAGTTGTATCTTATGTTTCCTATTAACTTGGTGTGTCTCCTTTAAAGAAAGACAAAGCAAACACTCAGCGACTGGCTGCACGAGGAGCTGAAATCTGAAAGTGCTGGATTTTTGTCAAAGAATTGAACTTGCAGAAAGTTATTGACTGCTTTGGCTTGGTGTGTTATGGGGTGTTTTGTTCTCCCCTCCCAGACTGAACCATTAAAACACTTGGAAGGAAAATGGAACAAAAAACCATTAGCTGGGGAGTTGAACAAGGGCTCGTGATGAACCTTTTTCTGGGTTCAGCTTCCAGCAAAGTGCTCTCCTCTTTCTCTTTTTCAAATGTACCAGGGCTGGGAAAATGACCTTTTTTCCCCTCTGCTCTTCACCCCCCAGGGGTGTAATAGCCTCTTGTGAAATCACAGAGGGGTTGGAATTGGAAGGAACTTCTGGAGATCATTGAGTCCAATCCCCCTGCCAGAGCAGGGTCACCTACAGCAGGTCCCACAGGAACCTCCAGATGGGTCTGGAAAGTCTCCAGAAGAGACTCCACAGCCTCTCTGGGCAGCCTGTCCCAGGGCTCTGCCACCCTCACAGTCAAGAAGCTTTTCCTCTTGTTCAGCTTGACCCTCCTATGCTCCAGCTTGTGTCCATTTCCCCTCATCCTGTCTCAGGGCACCACTGAGCAGAGACTGGCCCATTCCTGACACCCACTCCTCAGATATTTATAGACATTAATAAGATTCCCTCTCAGATTGCTCCAGAGGAAACAGCCCCAGGTCTCTCATCCTGGCCAGATGTTCCAGTCCAGCCCCTTGGTTTTATAGTTCATATCCACTACCTGCTGTGCTTTTGGGAGACAAATCCTCTAGGATGGAGTGAGGGATGGAGCTGGGATATGGAGGAGCTGGGTAGGGAGGAGATGCTGCTCTCCCTGCTAAAAACCCACCAGTCTGTTGCACAGAACCTGCTGCCTGTTTCTTGTCCAGTTTTTCTCCTCCCCTCCTTTTTCCACCCTTTCCATGCACAGGCCTGATCATTTGAAGGCTGAAGAACTTGCACATCTCCCAGGCTAATGTAAATTGTTGGTATTTGAAATGTAGGGGCTTCTTTCCCCCTCCCCCTGCTGTCTTTTTGTGTTATTTTTAAACAAGGCCTAGTTTTGAAGAGATGTTAAATCCTCACATTTGGATTAAACCATACTTTATATTTCCCCATGATTTTAAGGGATCATTTTCACAATAGCTGCAATAGCAAGGAATTGGTGTCAAAAAGCAAAACTAATTTAGGGATTAGCCCTGAGGGAAATTGAGCAATTAAAGTATCTGTGGAGTTGAGCACAAGGCTTTTTAACCACCCTTCAACTGGGACCCCATCAATCCAGTGCTCTTAGGCTGCAACCAAGGGGACTTACTGGGGTTTAAGCTCTTGTATTTCTACCTCTGGAGCTTGAAAGGACACACGTGGACATGAATATTGGAATATTGCTGTTAAATCTGTTGCACAGCACTGCTTTAAGGCAGAGCTCACACAATTTGAGGTACTGGGGTGTAGCAAGTCTGGCTGTGAGCTGTGCATCAGTCTCTGGGTGTCTGTAGCTGCTGCAAACAGTTGTTAAGCTCTGCTGAGATCTCAGGATAAAAGAAAGCTGATGTAAACTCTGTTGTCTTGCAACCGGAGGGGATTAAGTGCACACTTTTGGAGTTACCAGCAATTACTGACAGGGGTGACAATGTGGTCACTTTTTGAAGCTCAGTGAGTGGCTGGTGGGCTGTTAAAGCAGCTCCCTGAAATGCCTGTTGCATGAAGGAGGAGCTGAGCTTGGTTTGCAGCCCCTGTTTGAGCACCCACCAGCCCTGCAGGGCAGGATTTCATACCAGTCCTCTTCCCACTCTCTGGTTACGTAGAAAACCTTATTTAATTTGATGCATTAATGCAAGTGAAAGCCAATTTCCCAGAAGAAGGGAAGTTAGGACATCTGTTTAAACGAATGCAGTTGCTGAAGAAAAATGGCTTATGAGAAGAATTCCAGAGCACTGCTGGGAAAGCTGATACAACAACATTTATCAGTATCTAACAGTGCCTTTCATCACAGGAGCTGAGTCCAGTTTCATTTCCTTGCTTTATATCCCTCAGTTTTCCATCCCTGCTGACAGCAGTGAGCTGGCAGGCCTCTTCAGTCACACTCCTTGATTGGCCCAGAGGGGCAGTTGTGTCCTGGGCTGCATCACAAGAAGTGTGGCCAGCAGGGCCAGGGAGGGGATTGTCCCCTCTGCTCTGCTCTGCTGAGACCCCCCTGGAGTGTTGTGTCCAGCTCTGGAGCCCCCAGCACAGGAGAGACATGGAGCTGTTGGAGGGGCCAGAGAAGGGCCCTGGAGATGCTGGGAGGGCTGGAGCAGCTCTGGAGCCAGGCTGGGAGAGTTGGGGTGTTGAGCCTGGAGAAGAGAAGGCTCCAGGGAGACCTGAGAGCAGCTTCCAGTGCCTGAAGGGGCTCCAGGAAAGCTGGGGAGGGGCTTTTCACCAGAGAGGGCAGTGACAGGACAAGGGGTGATGGTTTTAAACTGCAAGAGGGGAGATTTAGGTCAGACATCAGGAAGAAATTTTTCCCCATGAGGTTAGGAAGGCACTGGAACAGGTTGCCCAGGGAAGCTGTGGCTGCCCCATCCCTGGAGGTGTTGAAGGGCAGGTTGGATGAGGCTTGTGCAGCCTGGGCTGGTGGGAGGTGTCCCTGCCCATGGCACGGGGTTGGGACCTGGTGAACTTTAAGGTCCCTTCCAACCTTCACCATTCTAGGATTCTATTCCCTCCGCCACAGGTTTGGTTGTATTTTTTGAGGGATCACTCTGTATTTGCCCTGCTCACCCTCCTGCAGAGAAAGAAGCTGCCCCCCAGGTTTTGTGCTTCTTCTTTCTGAGACCTGCTGCCTTTTCTTCCCTCCTCCCTGCCTGCCTGATGTAGATGAGGGTCTGTCTCAAAATTATCTTATCTGGATTTCAGGACAAATCTGATGGCTTAGGCCCCTGTGGAAATCAGGCCAAGTCAGAATGGTGGGTTTTAGTCATAAAATAAATGTTCCAGCATCTAATGCCAGACTGTGGATTCTGATCTCGCTCAGATTCATCACTTTGAGTGCTGCTTGACAGCCTGTGTGAGGTGAACTGATGGCTGCAGGCCAGTCCCTGGAGGAGAATGTGTTGGTTGTGAAGGTCTCCAGCACTCTTGACCCTCATTTCTACAAGAGGGCACTTGGATAGGTTTGGAGAGGGGACTTGTCCTCTGGAGGAGCCTTCCCCGTGGGGCTGCTGCTGTTTTAAGGTGTGGCCTGTGAATTGTAGAACCACAGACTGGTTTGGGCTGGAAGGGACCTTCAGGATCATCTGGATCCAACCCCCTGCATGGGCAGGGACACCTCCCAGCAGCCCAGGCTGCTCCAAGCCCCATCCAACCTGCCCTTCAACACCCCCAGGGATGGGGCAGCCACAGCTTCCCTGGGCAACCTGGGCCAGGCTCTCCCCACCCTCACAGCCCAGAATTTCTCCCTCCCATCTCAGCTCCAGCTCCCTCTGCCAGCTGGAAACCCTTCCCCCTGCTCCCATCCCTCCCTGCCCTTGTCCCAAGCCCCTCCCCAGCTTTCCTGGAGCCCCTTCAGGCCCTGGAAGCTGCTCTCAGCTCTCCCTGGAGCCTTCTCTTCTCCAGGCTGAACACCCCAACTCTCCCAGCCTGGCTCCAGAGCAGAGCTGCTCCAGCCCTGAGACACTGTGGAAGAGCTGGATGACATGGAAGCTCCTCAGTCACTAACTTAAGGAAGAGTGAAGCTGTTTGACCCACTGTAGGGAGAGCTAGTCCAGTCATCTGGATCTACTGCATAACTTTGAGCAATGGATTTAATTCCTTTATCTGACACATGCTCCTTGATCCCAAAGTGACCATTTCCAGAAAGGCAGTGGGGAGGTCTCTGCTCTGCACAGTCTTAACCATCATCATCTGTTCTTTTCTTTTAACCAGTGACAGAGAAGGTTTATGAGAGTGAATCCTGTACAGACAGTGAGGATGACTTCAAGTCCAAACCACCACCAGCAGCACCCAAACAGCCTCTGAAGAAAGAACCAAAAGAAGAAAGGAAGAACCTGAAGAAAGGAGCAGCCACTGCCAGCAGAGCCAACAAACAGGTCTCCATCATGGGGTTTTTTCATAAGAAATGAACTGGTTCTTTCTCCTGGTCCTCTTGGGATTGTTGCTCTTTCTGTGTGGCTTTCTGAGAGCTGCTGCACTGGAGGAGAACAAGATGCAATCTTCACTTATGTAAGATCTTGCTTACTGTGTAAGGAAGCCCTCTGGACTAGATTCTGTGTCAGAGAAAAGTCTGATTTGTTACTGCAATGATCTCAGTTGTCTTTCCTGAGCAGTGTGGGAACCACCAGCTGGAAGCAAAATCTGGAGGAACTCCTGAAAAAGCTCTTCAGCTCTTCACATGAAATGTTATTTTTTTAATTCAGCCCTTCAGCTGTTGGGTGCTGAAGGTCTGTTCCACCACTGGTAGATGGACTAAGTTAGGAGGCAAGTTGTGGCATTTCTTATTTGTTTCCTCCCCCTTCTTTTCACACTCCCAGCTCTCCAGGTTGATCTAGATGTTTCCATTGGTTGGGAGCTGCAATGGAGCAGGTCTTCAACACTGAACATCTGCTTCAGCTTTCACTGAATGAAATGAACTTAATTTTCCCCCCCCCCAAGACTGGTAAATAGTTTTTGCTCTGCCTTTCATCATCTCTCCTTTGGACAAAGCAGGGCCTATAAAATTCTCTTACTCTCTTCTTCCTTGAACATATCCCCTGTAAATGGCTCAGATGCTTAATTATATATAATTATATAGACCAGCAGGCACTGCTGGTGCTCTGTCTTTGCAAAAAAAAACCACCACCAGCAACATCTTGGAGGCTTCCCACACAATTGGCTCCAGTGGAACTGGGGGAAATCTCTGCTGTTAATGGGGAAGCAACTGGATCCTTAACCTTAAAAACTAAGGAGCTAAGGGGAAGAGGGATCAGAGGGCACTTCTAACACTGCTCAGGTACCTGCTGTTGTGGTGAGGACCTGTGCCCTGCCTGCTGCTTCTGGAGCTTTGGGTGGGTTTTTTCCCCAGGCAGAAAGCAGACAAGGGAAGAGCTGTTTTCTAGGACATCTCATCATCTCCCTGCTGCAGGAATTGTCACAGCAAAGGTGCCTGAGGAGCCCTTTTTGGGAGGTGAGCAGAGCACTGCAGTCCTGCTCGTGGGAACTGAGGCAGTTTGGGGTTCATTCTGGTTTTCTGGTGCTAAATTTGACAGATGTGTGTAAAGAGGCAGGTTTTGCAGAGAGTGGGAGCTGAGCATTGCTCCAGCTTGGCCTGGGCAGGGCTTCCAGATGGGCCACTGCTGCCATCAGTGCTTTCTGAGGGGTGGGCCAGCATACCCATGGATATGTATCTACATACTGGTTTATAAAGTGTTTGAGGTTGGCAGAGGGAGAGAGAGAGAGAAGGTCTGAACAAGGTGAACTGGGGAAGAAATGTCTTTGGCACCCAGGTGAGTTCTCCTGAGATGATCACATGCTGACCTGGGGGTGACTCTGGACCAGGAGGTCAGGTCAGTGACTCAAGAAATTGGAACATGCACCTGATTGTCACCCAAGAGCTGACTCAGCTGAAGTCACCCCAGGCAGCTTTGCACCCTCAGGAGATGAGAGGTGGTTGAGTCCCTGTGTTGCTCCTCAGAAGAGCGAAGAACTTCAACTCTGGACTTTGTGTTGGAAAAATCATAGGGAGATGAGGGAAGGCAGAACTGGCCCAGGACATCCCAGGCATCCCAAACCAGAGCCTGCTGCCCAAGCTGAAGAAGGGTTTGATGCTCTGGTGGTGGGTTTGGGTGATGTGGGCAGCAGAGGCCCACGGGGAACAGATGAACAACCTTGTTCTGACTTTCATGAAGAAAATGTCACCACCAAAACCAGACCCTGCTCTGGTGCTTGTTTCCCTTGGTAGAACTGGGGGTGGGTTTTGAAAAGTCATGATATGTAACAAAGCTCATTAAATACAGATACTATTTTTTTTTCATTTGCCCTTGTTACACATGAAATGATTTGCCAAGTCCCTGGTCCCCAAGGGTTGCTGTGACATTGGACTGTTTGGAAGAACATCCCTGGGCGAAGCGGGTTCTGCCCTCAGCACCAGGGCTGGAAGCCTGAGCACCTCAGGGCACCTGAAGTGGGGAGGGGAGAACATCTCGAGCTGTCAGGATCTGTGCTGAATGGACCCCTTGAGTCTTGTCCCTCTGGCAAATGTTGACAGGACTTGGTGTCCTGGAGCTCTTGCACCTCAAGCTGGGGGTGGTGGAGCCTCCGCCCCAGCTCCCCCTATAACCGGAGCAACGTCATAGGCGACTTCCTCAGGAAAATGACCTAATGTCTGAAGAAGCAGGGCATAGGAGAACCTCAGGCTTCCAAAAATCATGATCTCATACTCCCCCCCCCCTCCACTGGCTCCTGCAGTTGATGGGCTGCCAACCCCAAGGAGGCCTCAGGTCCCTGGATGCCCCCTTGGTGAGGCTGGAGCGTCCCCGGGCGCTGCGTGTGAGCGGGGAGTGGGGCTGCTGCTTAAAGGGAGAAGGTTCCCTCTTGCTGCCATGGGCACCAGTGGCACCAGTTTGGCACCCTGTGGCTGGTGGGGGGTGAATGTCTGGGAGGTGGTGGCAGCTCCAAGCAAGGCACCAGGTCTTGGAGCAAGGAGCACATCCCCTCCCTCCACTCAAGGCTCAGTATTGATGGTGCAGGGGGGTCCACAACCTCATCCTGGAGATACAGAAATCTTTATAACACCTCAGGAGGGCAAGGCCTTAACAGAGGTGGTGGGAGAGGGTCACAGAGGGGTCAGGGTTGGAAGGAACCTGTGGAGATCATCCAGGCCAACCCCCTGCTAGAGCAGGATGCCCTAGAGCAGATCCCACAGGGACACGTCCAGTTGGGGTTGGAATGTCCCCAGGGATGGAGGCTCCACAGCCTCCCTGGGCAGCCTGTCCCAGGGCTCTGTCACCCTCACAGGCAAGAACTATTTTCTTATATTTCATTTAAAAATGTAGGACATTGGTTCATTTACTATTCTCTGCAAGGACCTTCATCCTTGTTTTCCAGGTGAGGTGAGAAGCTGAAGAAGTTACACCATCAAGTATTCTGGGGCAAAATGATGGATGATGCACCAGGCTCCTGAGGTGCCTCTGAACTGTGTGTGTGTCCTGGGAAGAGGCTGGAAATGCTCCCTAGGGATGAATGTTTGGGATGAGATGGGAGAGAGCAGAGCTGATTCCCTGCCCTGCTTGGAAAAAATACCCAACATCCCACCCCACTTCCCTCCCTGGGGCTGCCTGACCTTGGTCTGGCTCAGGAGACATAGAGGAAGCTCTGGTGGGCAAGTGGAAGGGCCAGGAGGGTGTCCCAGGGCAGGAGGGTGTCCCAGCAGGGAATTGTTTTCCTCTCCCTTCCAGGCACTGCTGCAGAGCCCGGAGCAGGAGCAGCCAGGGCCTTATAAGGAAGCAAATCCAGGAGGGAAGGGTGAGGGTGCCAGCACCCTGAGGCAGGGCTGGGGCTCTTCTCAGCTGGGGGCAACGGGTCCCAGCACCCTGGGGTGGGTTGGGGGCACCCCCTGCAACCCTGGGGTCTGCCTGGGTGGCAGAAGGTCATGGAATCGTGGAATCCCAGACTGGTTTGAGTGGGAAAGGACATTAAAGATCATCTTGTTCCCTCCCAATCAGCCCAGGCTGCTCCAAGCCCCATCCAACCTGCCCTTCAACACCTCCAGGGATGGGGCAGCCACAGCTTCCCTGGGCAACCTGGGCCAGGCTCTCCCCACCCTCACAGGGAAGGATTCCTGCCTGATGTCCAACCTCAATCTCCCCTCTCAGTTTTCATGGAATCACAGGAAGGTGAAGGTTGGAAGGGACCTTAGAGATCATCCAGTCCCACCCCTGCATGGGCAGGGACACCTCCCACCAGCCCAGGCTGCTCCAAGCCCCATCCAACCTGCCCTTCAACACCTCCAGGGATGGGGCAGCCACAGCTTTCCTGGGCAACCTGTTCCAGTGCCTTCCTGCCCTCATGGGGAAGAATTTCTTCCTGGTAAGATCAGTGGTCAAACCTCCCCCCACACCACATGATGCTTTGTCACATTCCTTGGGGTTTTTTTTCCAAGTAGAGCCAAGAGGAAGGTTTTTGCCTGTGGCACCAGATGGATGAGACCCTGTGTCTCTTCTGCTCTGATCTCCTTCCAAAACTTGTCCCTCCACTTGTGGAAGGGTCTCATCCATCCTCCAACAGAGGGAACAGCCAAGTTCACGTGTGCTGAGCCACTGGGTGCTGCCCTGGCATCCTCATCCCCAGGAAGCTGCTCCTGAATTGGACACCAGCAGCTCCTGTGGGCCTTGGAAAAAGGCACTGGAGATAGGGGAGGGCATGGAGAACACTCCTGAGGAACCATCATTTCCAGGATAAGGACCTAAAAACATCCTTCCCAGCACCAGGAGCTGCCAGTTCATCATCTGACCACCCTGCCAGGGTGAATCATGGAATCCCAGAATGGTTTGGGTTGGAAGGAACCTTAAAGATCATCCAGTTCCAACCCCCCTGCATGGGCAGGGACACCTCCCAGCAGCCCAGGCTGCTCCAAGCCCCATCCAACCTGCCCTTCAACACCCCCAGGGATGGGGCAACAAAGGGGGGCAGTGAAAGAGAAATTCAGGGTCACAACCTGCTTGTACTGACACTATTTCAGGTGTCTCCAGAAGGTGGAGATGGTTCTGCTCATCCCACGTGGCTGGTGGGCAGGGACTGGGTTGAAGGATGAGGTGAAATGCAGGGGAGTGGGGCTGAAGTCCATGAGAGTTTTGGAAACTCCAACCCCCATAGGAGACTCTCTTAACCCTTGTGTCACTCCAAGTGTCCCACCAGGGCAGGGAGGAGTGGCCAGCACTGTCCCTGGACCAAGATGGGCCAGGTTGAGCTCTGACAAGGTCCCATCTCCAGCCTTTGACTGTTTAAGGAAGGTTATGGGGGATTCTGCCCCATCTTCATGTCCCTTGGCTGCAAGACACCAGAGATGCTGAGGGTCAGCAGAACTCCCAGGGCTGGTGGTGTCATTCATTGGATGTTTTCAGCCCATGTCCTACCAGGAACTTCATCA